TTCTTTGAGGCTTGCTTATATCTGTTTTTGCATTATCTTATTCTTTTGAGTTTTTGTCTTTGTCTTCCTTGCAACTGTAGTAGATTTCTATGGTCAAGTTCTTTTTTTGTTGTTTGCTCCTTTCTTGAGTCTATTTCTTGACTTTGAAGTTTAAGTAAAAGTTTGTGGGGAGGCACGGTCCCAAACTTTAGGGTTTTTTGTGCTACTATTTTCAGAACTACTTCTGGGGGGTCTGTGTATTTTTGGTACTTCCAAGATAATGTGATCCCAGGATAGGTGTGGTCACTGTTTTTCTGGTCTGTGCTATGGCCCTTACCCAGGAATGACTTTGCTCCTCTGCAGCTACAACAAGTAGTACTCCTTTCTGCTGTGGAATTGTGACCAGGGCCTCTGTTCTCTAGCAGCCAGAAGGGCTAGTGCTCTCTTCTGATATGGAACTGTTACCCTGGCTCCTGATTCCTTGTGGCTGACCACAAGTGCTCCTGTCTCCCTCAGAATTAAAACCAGAACTGCATATGGGCAATAGAATTGCCAACCAGTATTAGACCCTGTACCCAATGCCAATCACAGATCCCATGTAATCTTTCTGGCCAGTTGTCCAATTCCCTTACTATTTCTGGGTTGAGAGCTCCTGAAGCTGCTGCTGTTGCTCTCATGGTCATCTCCAAAGCCTACCACTTGTGCTGCTACCATGTGTGCTTTGGGTCAGTCCCCACCCTTGTGTCGTAGACCTCTTCTGCCAGCCTACTAAGTTGTCTTAACCTGGAAAAATGTCTCACCTTGACCTTTATTTTGCTCTGTCACTCCAGAATTCAATTTGATGCATTATTTTAATGTTATTTGGAGGATATTGTTGGGAGACTTTGGCTGGTTACCTGGCCCTACTTTGTCATCTTGGCTTAGCCCATTTCCCTTCACTCTTATGCCTGCCTTTTTATCCTTCTCATGAGTATCTGGGTTATTTGTTAATCAAAACAATGCTGCAATTAAAAAAAAATCCCCCCATGGTGATTTTGATATTGGTTAGTTAATCACAATTCTAAAGCTCTTATGAATTATATGAATTATTTAAAATTTTTAATAGTATTTTATTTTTTCCAATTACATGTAAAGATAATTTTTAACATTCTTTTTTTAAAAAAATTTTGAGTTCCAAATTTTCTCCCTTTCTCCCTACCCTCCTTCCTTCCTAAGATAGTTAAGTAATTTGATATAGGTTACATATGTGCAATCATGTAAAACCTATTATATGAATTAGTTTGATGATCTAGCTTTAGTTTCATGAATTTGTTCATTTTACATTTGAATATTTTTGGTGGTACTTCTTACCATAGAATTATCAAAATTACATGTGTTTTTAAATGACCATTTTTTATCTTAATAACACATGCTTAAGAAAAATTATGGGAAATCAATTTGATGGTGAAATTCTATAATGTAACCTTTGCTGTAGTCTGTAGAAGTTTCTTTCAGTTCTTATTTTTTGACAAACATGGTGCGTATTTAACTTCTTTTTGGTGTGTGGTATGTTTCATAGTGCCTTAAAATAATCTCCTAGTGATTGTATTTTTGAAAATTGACATTGAAATATCTAGATAGGGTGAATTGGAGTTCTAACACCATTGATCTTTTACAAATTGTGTTGATATGAAATATATTCTTCCTTTTCAATATTTCTATAAAATTTCCTTCTATATATTTTCTACAATATAATTATCAGATTCTTTTGTTCACTATGACTTTTGCATAATAACACAAGTGCAGACCTGTCCTGCCTAGAATTTCAGAGAATCATATATGCCACCTCACTTCTCTTATACTTGAATGGGAGTGGGGGGTAATGGTGCATTAATGAGAGGATTTCTTTAAATTTTTAGCAATCATAAGAATGCATTCTCTAGATTACCTGTTTGATGCCAGAGAGAAATTTAATAAGGAAATGAGCTGATAGTAGGGGCAGATGAAAATAGGTGTAGTTTTTTTTTCTAACCCCTATTCCTTCCAGTCCCCTGGCACATAGTATGATTCCAAGCTCTACTTCTCTAAAAATGGTGTCATGGAGGACTTTTATATTTTTCCTGTTTTGGGAACTTCTTTCTTTTATTTATTTAACTATTTTTCTTTGCTTATGAGCACTTTTTTGTAATTGAAACAGGAATTACATTTAGAACATTCAGTCTGGGAAATATTTATTTAATATTTTTGAATTTTGAGGTGAATTTTTGGTTCATTATTCTTATTCTTTGCTGTGAGATTTCTTTCCTCTTTTGATTTTTCTTTCACTTGGATGCTCATTTTGGAAACAATTTTAGTTTTCTGACTGAAATTATCTCCAGTCCTCTATATTTTAGAACATTGTTTTCTTATTTGTGTGTGCCCCACTTCCCCTTGGTTACAGATAGCTTTGCTACTGGATAGAAAGGTGACCTCAGAGTCAGGAAGAGCTAGCTTAAAGTTTTGATCCTGACATAAATCCAATGGTTTTTCCTTAATCTTCAATCTCCCTTTGCTCTCTGAAGCTTTTGACACTTGATCCCTCCTCCTCCTCATTGACTCTCTTCTCTCAAGTCTTTTGGGGATCCACTCTCTCCTGGTTTTCCTCCTGCCTATCTGACTGCTCTTCTCATTCTCCAATCTTTAATTGCCTTTCAGACATCTGGATATCCAGTAGACGTTTTAAACCCAATATATTCAAAATTGAATTCAGTATCTTTTCCTTTAAACTCTTTGTCCTCCTACCTTCCCTTTTATGACAGAGGGTGACACCATCCTCCCAGACCCTTAGACTTACAACCCAGGAGTCATCCTGGATTCCTCTATGTCTTCTACCACACATAGCCACGTTGTTGCCAAAGCCTATTGATTTCACCTCTGCAACATCTCTGTATAAGCCCTATTCTCTCCTTTGACACTGTTACCACTGTGGTGTGGGCCCTCATTAACTCTTGCCTGGACTATTGAAATAGTCTGCTGGTAGGTCTTCCTGTCTCAATTCTCTCCTCAATACAATCCATCTTCCATTCAGCCACTGAAGTGATTTTCCTAAAGTGTAGGTCAGATCATGTCAGCTTCCCCTGCATCTCCCTCTCCCCTCACTCAAAAAATTTTGGTGGCTCCCTATTATTTCCAGGATCAAATACAAAGTTATCCATTTGGCATTTAAAACCATTGATGTTCTAACTCTCTCCTAGCATTCTAGTCTTTTTTTACACCTTCCAGTGACACGGGCCTCCTTACCATTCCACAAACAACACACTCCATATCTCAGCTCCAGACATTTTTTTTTTAGGCAATTGGGGTTGAGCAACTTGCTGAGGGTCATACAGCTAGTAAGTGTCAAGTGTTTGGTCTGAGGCCAGATTGGAACTCATGTCCTCCTAACTTCAGGTTCTCTGTCCACTGTGCCACCTAGCTGCCCCAATTCCAGGCATTTTCTCTGGCTGTTTCCCCTGCCTGCAATGCTCTCCTTCTTCATCTCTACCTTCTAGTTCCCCTGGCTTCCTTTAAGTCCCAACTAAAGACCATCTTCTATAGTAAGCTTTCCCAACTCCTTTTAATTCTAATGCCTTCCCTCTTTTCTTTCCTACTTGAATTTTATATGCTTTATACATAATTATTTGTTTGTTGTCTCCCTCTTAAATTGTGAGCTTTTTGAGGACAGGGACTATCTTTTGCCTCATTTTGTGACATATAGCACAGTGGCTAGCTATAGTAGGCTCTTAACAAATACTGACATAAACTGACTCTATGGCCTTTAATCTTGCAGTGCATATTATAGAGAAGGTATTGATTTGCATTGGTGAAAGAAGTTCCTTTCTGGGAGCTCCCTACATCAAGGAAATTGATAACTTTGTAAAAAAAAAAACAACAAAATAAAACAAACCAAACTGCCCTTTCAAGTCTACTACATTCAAAGATTAAAGTCCAGGACAGAGATTATAGGTTACTAAGACCAAGCTTCTCACTTTATAGGTGAGGAAACTCAGCCACAGAGAGGTTAAGCAATTTGCCAAGAGCCATATAGCTAGTTAATGTGTGAAGCAGGATCTGAACCCTTGTTTTCCTGACTCCAAGGTTGATCAACTTCTTTCAAGTAGTTGTGATTCATTATCTTTTTTTTTTCAAGAGTGTAAGTTGCATTTTTCTTGTCTATGATTTGGAGCTAAAATGACTGGATGAGGCTTATTAATAGTCCCTAGGAAGTAGGGATCTACGACTTTTCACAAAAAGTGGAAAGATTAGAAAAGTTAAACTATGACTAATTGTCCAACCGTCATATTCACTATAGGTCACAGAGGAGTAGAGAGATCAATACAAACCTATTACCTTTACTAGAAAATGAACCCAAGTGCATAGATGATCTATGGATGGATGAATGATATCACTACCACCACCACCACCACCACCACCACCACCACCATCATTTGTATTTCACAAATTGACAAGGACAAGTGAGATTATGCAAACAAAAAAAGTTTATTAGGTGACCAGCTAGTCCTAAAAGGATATTAAATGTAGTAGAAAGAATAATCAGGAAACATGAGAACAATAAAACAGAAAAAATATTAAGAAGAAAACAAAGTTAAGTGGTTACAAAGACTAAAACTTCAGGGATTAACCCATTGGATACACTGGATGCGCTGACAAGAAAAGAGTGACTTCTTGTCTGTCTCTGTTTGGTGATTTGAAAAAAAAAGGGTCATACACAAGGAGAGTCAGGCTGGTCATATGTAGTAATAGAATGGGTATAACAGTCATATTCCCACAGTGGACATGGAGCTGATAACTCAGCTGAAAGTAGTTGTCAGGTAATGAGATGGAATAGCACTAGCTGGGAATAGATGACATTAAATCCAGGGGTGTCCAAGACTTTCAGCAGTAAGATGGTAGAGGAATACCTTTGTATTTGTCCAGTAGGAGAGGGATTGACAATGAAAATGTGGAGTCTAAGGATGATTGACTTTAAATAGAATTGCTGCACATTTGGTCCAACAAGTTGATCAACAGCAGGATGGGTAGCAGCAGTTGCACCCACAACAGGTGGGCTTGCAGCAGGTTGACTGGTAGCAGATTGTTTTACAGCAAGTTGGCTGACAGCAGCTGGACTCACAGCAGGTTGGCTTACAACAAGTTGTTTGACAACAGACTGTTCTACAACAGGTTGGCTGGCAGCAAGGTGTGCAGCAGCTAGAGTCACAGGTAGTAGGTTGGCAGCAGCTGGGCACACAACAAGTTGGCTTACAACATGTAGTTCTACAGCAAACTGTCTTACAGTATGCAGGCTGGCAGCAGCTGGACTCACAGCAGGATGGCTGACAGCAAGGTTGGCAACAGCTGGGCTCACAGCAGGTTGGCTTACAACAAGTTGTTCTCCAGCAGACTGTCCTGCAGCATGTTGGCTGGCAGCAGGTGGGAGCACAGCAGCAAAAGCTGACCATGGTCTTGGTGGATGTGACTTTTGTTGAGTTGGAGAGAAAAAATTCCAGTAATCTGAGAACCTTCATGTTCTGGGACTATATATACATGTCATCAGTGTGTGAAATTGGTCCCATGAGCAGGATCTTTCCTTATATTGTTTATGCCGTGTTCTATGACCTCAGGAAATTGTATTACATACTAGTTTCTGAGTAAGTGTCATTATGAATCTTATTAGAATCAATGATTTAGTTTGTTCCTCCTCTCAATTCATCCAGTCTGTTCTTTCTAAGATGATAGAAAATTTGTTTTCAAGAATCATCATCATCATCATGTAAAGTGGTCATGTAATTTGAACATCTGATGGTAATAGGTCAGAGATCAGAAGGATGGAATCACCTCTTTTTTCCTTACTGCTGATAGTGTTAACTTCACCTAGTTAGCATAGCATGACAATGAAAACCTGTAACTCTGATTCCAGAGTGCTGAATTTGGAGGGAGAAATCTAGGACCGAAGTCCTACATCACCCACTTATCAGCTATGTGACGTTGAACCTGTCACTTTGATTCCCTAAACATAAATTGACTTCTGCATAACATGTAGATAATAGTAACTTTACAGGGTACTTTACATGGTTCTTAGAGCATCTAATGAAATAATTATGTATGTTTTATTATCTCTTCTCCATAACATTCAATAGCTTTTCCAGTGCCCAGTATACACATTATTTTTCCTTCTGAAATTGGTCCTTAGTTTATGCATTAATTTTGTGTCCCTAGTTTTAAACCCCATCATCTCTCATCACTTCCTCTGCCTCCTCTTAGCCTGACCTATCTAAACATCTTGGGCTAACTCTTGTTTTCATTCTCTCTTTTGTTTATTTAGTCCTTCCCTTTCTTAGTTCAAATAAGAAATAGCTCATCTTTTTTGTTGATCATCCCACTCCCATGCACATCATCTATTTCAGTGATAGTAATTTACAAAGACCCTCAATAAGAAGGATTTTCTTTTCACTCCTCTTATTCTTTATACTTTGAAAAATTCCCTGTATTTAATTTCCAGGAATGGTAATTCTGGATACAGCTGCTTTGGGAAGTGTTTTGTGATGCTTGTGTGTGGTTCCAAGCCAATTCTTTCTTTGTCTCTCTCTCTCTGTCTCTGTCTCTTTCAGCATCCCTTTTGGTTTTATGCCACCTTCACCTTGCACTTATGAGCTCTGTTCTACTCTCTTGAGCTGTGCCTTTCTTGACTTTGTCCTAGTTGAAGTTAGCCAGACCATTTTTTCCACTATAGTGAGAGTTTGAAAAAGGTATGACTGAGGAAGGGGCAGTAGTGGTGATGGGAAAGAAGAGATGCTTGAGCTTTGGGTATCAACAGTAGGAGACTGAGAGACTATTTTAAAGTTCAACAAATGTATTCCACACTTGAAATCTGCTGTTTTCTTCTACCACTACCTCCTTTAAAGATCTGACTTCTTAAACAGAAGATAAAAGAGGAATCAAAGGTATAAGAAGATGTTGAATCTGAACATGCTGTAGTGGAAGAATGGTTATCAGAATTCAAGGCGTTACCAGAAACTTAGATCACCAGCTATGTGGCAACTCTTCACAGGAAAAAAAACCCACTGGTACCAGCCCTTTATAAAGTTATTCAAGACTCCAATAATGATCTCCTAGAGCCTATCTGTCACCAGCTTTTTGAGCTATATTGTAGTTCTGAAGTTTGGCTCAAGAGATTCACTCTAAAATTCTTACCAGAATTGATATGAGTTTATTTATGACTTACTGTTAGCCAAGACACACAGAATAATGGTTGTATAGAAGTGCTGCTACTAGGGATCTATAATTTGGAAATTACTGATAAAGATGGAAACAATAAAGGGCTATCTTTCACCATCCCTTCCTTATCCAAGCCTTCAATATGTCATGAGCCCTCAACTATTGGATCCATGGCCTTGAGAGAGGGAGCATTGTGTCAACATGACCTCATTAGGGTAGTTCATAGTGATCTTCATCCTAAGAGGGAAACGTTTACTGCACAAAACAGGTTTGTGGTCTTGAGTTTTCTCATGCTCTGCTACAACTCAGCTATTGTTTATATGCCTGCCTCCTTTTATTAGGCACTGTGTTTCATGGGTTCCAGGCTTTGCATAGGTGGGTTTCCATGGCAAAATGAAAAACACTGGAAAGAACCTTGTGGCCAAGTAGTATTGGATCCTGAATTTATGGTGCAGCTTCTGACAGGTGTATGCCATATACAATGGACAGTGGGATTTTGACCAAGAAGTGCTGGATGACATTATTTGCAGAGCTCAGCTAGAACTTTTTTCCCAACCAGTACTGGTTGCTAATGGCATGAAGAATTCATTGCCATTTGATGCTCCTGATTCTTCACAAGAAGGTCAGAAAGTACTTAAAGTAGAGGTCACACCCACAGTGCCAAGGATTTCTTGGACTGCAATCACAACTGCTTCAATTCATTGTCATCGATGGAGGCAAGAAGGTGCTGAGGGTGTAAATGGAGAAGAGGAGTCTATGAACCTGAATGATGCAGATGAAGGATTTTCATCATGGGCTTCCCTTAGCAGTCAGCCAGTTGGGACCAAACCATCATCCTCCTCTCAGAGGGAAAGCTTGAGGAAAGTAGCAAGTGGGCGTTCATGCAAGGGTAAAGAAACAGCTTCTGCCGCTAAATCCAGCAAGAGCCCTTGAGAGTCAGTAGCTTGTAAGCAGTACATACACCAACCAACTGACCTTAGTGAAGATTCTACTGAGTTGACACCAATGAAGAAAAACCTGAGCCTACCTGCTGGCCAGGTGGTGCCAAAAGCTAATAGCTTGAGTTTGACTCGGATGGCCAGTGCTTCCTCAAATAAATCATTTAACTATGTGAATGGTGGTCAAGCCAGTACAAGCGTTGGGGGTGACATTGAAGGAGTTACTAAGTTAGTAGGTGGCAATGCCAATCAATTTTCAACTATCAGTCTACAGGAAGACCAGCTATGTCAAGCTGGGGAAGATAAAGATCTCCTCAGCCCAGGAGCCCCACCCCCAACAAGGCAGTTTTGCTCCCCAAGCTTCAATATGCAGTTGGTACCACAGGTATAGTTTTGAAAGTTCCACTTCCTTCTCTTTCTGCTTATCTTTTAAAACCAAACATTTCATTGTGTAAGAAGAAACTTCATCCCAGTCTGAAACTACTGACCATTGTAATCAGATTTTATTTGGTTTAGGTATCATCATACTGTGTTTTGTACTGAAACAGCAAAAAGATTTTCTTTCCTTTCCTATTCTTCCTCTCTGTCCACCCCAACCTCTCCAAATGCATTTGTGAAGCAGTATAAAATGTATGCCTTTTTCATGCCTTCCTTTCTGCTTGGGTGAAGTGCAAATCTTCGTAGGCTGATCAGTCCCATTTCAACACTGTGAGACTGCAGAGACAATAGAGGAAATGGTGTGTGTGATCCCTCTGAAATGATTCTTTGGCTTTGTTAAGAAACAGAAAGAGATTCTCTCAATCTACAGAACTATGAAAACTACTGGATCATATGTTTGTCCCCCTCAAAACCAGGAGTGCCTCAGAGATTCTATTATGACTTTGGATTTCTCTGAGTTTGTGCAATCTTTTGTTTCTTTCCTTCTTTCTTTCTTTCGTTCTTTCTTTCTTTCTTTCTTTCTTTCTTTCTTTTCTTTCTTTCTTTCTTTCTTTCTTCCTTCCTTCCTTCCTTCCTTCCTTCCTTCCTTCCTTCCTTTCTTCTTTCTCTTTCTTTCTTCTTTCTTCTTTCTTTCTTTCTTTTTCTTTCTTTCTTTCTTTCTTTCTTTCTTTCTTCCTTCCTTCCTTCCTTCCTTCCTTCCTTCCTTCCTTCCTTCCTTCCTTTCTTTCTTTCTTTCTTTCTTTCTTTCTTTCTTTCTTTCTTTCTTTCTTTCTTTCTTTCTTTCTTTTTCTTTTTCTTTCTTTCTTTCTTCCTTCCTTCCTTCCTTCCTTCCTTCCTTCCTTCCTTCCTTCCTTCCTTCCTTCCTTCCTTCCTTCCTTCTTTCTTTCTTTCTTTCTTTCTTTCTTTCTTTCTTTCTTTCTTTCTTTCTTTCTTTCTTTCTTTCTTTCTTTCTTTCTTTCTTTCTTCCTCCTCCCTCCCTCTCTCTCTCTCTCTCTCTCTCTCTCTCTCTCTCTCTCTCTCTCTCTCGCTCTCTTTCTTTTTTCCTTTTTTAAATAAGTATGGGAAAAGTAGGTTGGAGGGAAGAGATGAGACATGCTGCTGGCAGTCTGCTGCACTTTTTTCATTAAAATGAGGTTAGCTCTTTTCCTCCAACTCTTTTACTCTGAAAAGTTAAAAATTTAGTCACTGAAACATTCAAACCAAATTTTGGTCTTCTCTGTTGCAGAGAAGGCTCTAAGTTTATTGTGTAGATGGTAATGCGCTTTTAGTAGCTTTATAGCTATGTTTAACATAATGTCTTCCCTCTTTCCCACCAGGACATATAGGGTTATTAAGTGAATAGGTTAAACTTTGAAACAATGAACAAGTCCAAGAATCAAGATAGGGTATCCTATTTCCTAGACATGATGAATAGCTCTTGTTTATAAATTGTTAACTGACTCAAACAAGTGCATCTTCAGTAAACAGAGGAATTTCTGAAGTCATATTCAGCGATACCAAATTATTAGTGAAGCCCTCTCAGCTGCTTTCTAGGTGTGCCTAAACTCAGTCAAACATTTTGGATTAAGAAATATACAGTCCGGACAGATTATATATTTCATGGAGGTACATCAGGAACAGAAAATTTGCTTGGGGGAATCATTGAAGCTTCAATGTAACCACATTTTTATAAAACAATTTCCTACCAGGGGATATTGCAATGTTTTCTGCTAAAAGGACCATACTACTTTTTTATTCATCAGTCTACTGCAGTTTGCAAACATGTTAAACATTGATTTGAAAGTGGTTTCCTCATCCTTTAGAAAATTTTGAAATTATGTCAGTGAGCTATATGGTAAATGTATGACTAGCTTTTGGAAA